AGCTATACGGCTAGAGAATCCGGTGCTGTGGTGTCAGAAGAAGCTGACAGAAGCCCTTTCACTTCCGTGGCCGACCCCGACGTCAGGTGGTGATCGCAATTTGCCCCCACGCCCCAGTGACCGTCGTTCGCTGCGCGCAAATAGCAGCAATTTTCCCCCAATGTATCTGCCCTCTGATTAAACCCCACAACCTAACAGACCACGATGGGAGTTAATGGTTAGAAGATCCCGGGAGCCTTTGTTCACCTCGATTTGGAGGTATGCATCGGATAGATTCAGCTTAGCGGAACAAGTTCCGCCATTCAGCCTAGCGAAAATATCTTCCGGCACAATCAAGGGATACTGATGCCTATCCAGCGCAGCATTAAGACCAGTGGAGAAATCAACACGGATTCGGACTTTGTGACACTCTTGACAGCCACAATTGGTGCGGCCATGCAGAATAATTATTTGGCCGAAGAACACCATCTCACTGAAGACGTTGAAATTCCTGGTCAATACCAATAAATTCGACATAAGGGACTGGTCTTTTCGGTCTGAACACAGGTTCTGCATTTGGTTGAAGTTGGAAAGTAACCATCTTGTTGCAGTAATAAAGACTGTCTTGATAAACTGAAGCAAATTTCTAATGTAGACTCGATATCAGCTTTGCAGCCAGCTGATTAGCTTTTGCGTGACTCGGCCAATTTGACTGCATACTACTGCACATACGGTTAAGTGGCAATTCTAGGAAAACAAGTTTCTCGATCCAGTCAAGGTCAATTAAGTCAACCTTCGGATGGATGGTAAGGTAGTATGTTCCTTTGAGTTGAGTGTCCTAAAAGGAAATGTCACATACAAGCTCACCCGTGAGCCGGAGAAATCATCCGGAAACATTCATGAACTTTCTGTTTGATGTGATCATCGGAGGCTGTCCAATTGTCTGTCAGGTGCGCTTGGAGGTGAGACTGATGTCTATGGCTCTGTGGAGCTGGAGGTGTACGTGTTTGCCATTGATGATAACCTTAAAATACTGTCTCCGTGCCTCAACTTCAGGCTGGAACGTGCCTAAATTGAGTGATACTTTAGACCGGAATAAGATGGTTGTTTGGAATACCTCGTCTTCCAATAATCTGCCCTTAGTTTGGGAGATTAACCTGCCCGGCAGTGATCTTCCTAATGCTTTGCTTATGGGATTTCTGACAAAGATGCTTCTTGAATAAACAGAAAAGGGTGAAAGGCCGGTCATCACACTGCCAGCATGAGGGTGGTGGTTTTCTGGGTTTTTAGTCCCTGCGCTTATGTGGGGACATCGATTTCATGCAGGTAACCACATAAAACACTGGAACGGGCAAGCGGGGAGCTGGATTGCACCACAATGGCAGAATCATGTATAATATATTTGAGCCGCTGGCACTCAGTTGTCAATGTCCGTAGGGTTGCATCGAGGTACTGTGGAGTTTTGCTGGGCAGACGAGCTCTGATTTCAACATCGCGAGGTGATTGGAAAGCGCACATAAATATTAGGCAATTGAACTTATCTTCTGTCATTAATCCCAGCTTGAACTTTTCACACTCGCGGTTGACGATACCAGCGAACGTCACAAAATCGTCTGTCTCCTTCTTCACCAGCTTGAAACAATGGTATCCTGTACTAAACAGTGAACATTTCTCCCCGAAGGTCTCGGGCAGTTGCTTTACGGTTTCATTGAGTTTGAAGTCAAAGGGTTTTTCGGCAGAATCATGTCCGTTTACCGCTCGTGCTCTTTAGTGCTCAGTTTGTGTAGTAATATGCGCAACTTCCAAGTTTCATCAGCTTTGGCAAATTCCACACGGAAGATGTCTTTCTAACGCTTACTCCAAGCGTCAAA